TTTATTTTAATGAAATTTACAACTGTAATACATAGAAAATACAACATGTAAATGTGACATTGGTAACATGACGTGAACAACTAGAAGAGAAACTACCCATTGGTAGAACTCAAATTAAAGTTCTATATTAGAAGATCCCGAGGCCATCTTCTTTTCAGACGCTTATCATGGATCGAGGAGGAAGCAAGGTTTGAAACGAGAGGATTTGGATGGTTCTGCAGTTTGTTATGGAAGGATAGGTATCTGGATTGGGCCAAATCGGAAACATATGGAACATTAAGGTCTTTATGGATGATTTTATTTGTGACAAAGTAAGGAGCGTTGAGGATTTTACGAAGGATTTTGGATTGTAAGGATTGGATACGAGAGGAATTCGATGGTTTAGTAGAGCCCCAAAGCTCAATTCCGTAAGTCCAAATAGGTCTTATTATTGTCATATATATGAGTTTTTTGTAATTGATTGAAAGCTTAGAGCGTTTGTCTAGTAAGTGCTGCAGTTGTCGAAAACGTCGGACGGTTTCTTGTCGTTTCAGTCTGGTATGGGGGTTCAAAGTGAATCGTTTGTCAAGGTGGAGTCCTAAGTATCGGATTTGTTCGACAGGGATAAGAGGGCTATTGTTGAAGGATACTGTAGGACAGGAAGTCATAGGTTTACGACGAAGAGTGAAGGAAATTTGATGGGATGTATTGGAATTTATTTTAATCCACCAGTTTTGACACTATTTTTCAAGACTTGTGATGTGTGATTGAAGAGTTTGTGATGCAATAGATGGATCGTTATTAACTGATAGGATACACTTGTCATCGCCATAGGTGGTAATGACAGTGTTGGATTGGGTTGGGATGTCAGCTGTATAAACTGGGTAAAGGATAAGACCTAGGATACTACCTTGAGGAACACCGACAGACTGAGTAAAAAGAGATGAATAAGCATCGTTATGATTGACTTTGAAATATCTGTCAGTAAGTTAGGAACGAATAATGAGAAAGTAAGTAGGTGGTAGGAATTTACGGAGTTTGTACATCAGTCTCGGATGCCAGACTCTATGAAACGCCGTGTCAAGAATAAATGTCAGACATTTATCTTAAAAAGCTTTATTGTTTTTTTGCCTTCAAGGACTCCTCAACATAGTTTCATGCAAGTAGTTTTTTTTCTTCTAGAGTAATCACCATTATATATATATATAAATTTAAAAAATGTAGCTCCCAAAAAATATATCTTACTAGTGATCCATGGAAATTTTATATTAATTTTTTAAATTACGACAAACATGTGGTACATGAAACACAAGAGATTTGAGAAAGGTTGGGTACTTTTTATTCATTTAATATGTACCATGTCGTTTTCATTGTTCATTATTTCTTTGAGAATCATTAGAGAATATAAAATTGTAGAAGAATAGAAAATACTCAAAGATGTAAATTATTTTGAGTATTTTCTACCTATTTTCTAGCTAATGATTGGTATGATAATAGTAATTATCACCATTTATGAAATAATGGCTTAATTATTTTATTACCTCTTAGCTCTACTTATTTCGTCAATGGATCAATGATTTTGATTAGAGGAATAAAAAAAAAAATAACAAAAAAAAATCATTATTAGAATAGTTTTATTTTGAAAATTTACACATCCAAATTATTTACATATTCGTGGAAAAACAGAAAAATATAATCATCCTTAATTCTACAATGATTAAGAAAAATGTTGTAATGATTGTTACCTTTTATTTAGGCATTATCATAATAAATAGTAATAGAACAATGAGATGAATCTGTTTAGATTCTTCAAGAAATATTCTGAAGATATAATCCATTTAAAAAAATAATCTCAGATGATCGGAAAACTAAATAATTAATTTCACTTAAAATGACTACAATTATTAAAGTCTCGTGAGCATTGGCACCGGCAAGAGTGTGGGGAAGGGGGAGAGGGGAGTACTCCCCCCCCAATATTTTCCAAAGAAAGCCAGAGTGGTTCTGTAGTCCAAATAACTAACCATAATTTCCGTAACCGTTACAATTAACCGTAACCGTCAACATTTTATTACTTTTAATATTTTAATATTATAGGTAATAAAGTGATGACTTGGTTAATACTTTATGTGGGGCGTTCTGACTTGCGCCTCTTAAGTGCCAGGCGCCTATGCTCAGGAACGTTGCCTGACTCAAAGTTTATCAGTTTTATAGAATTGACAGAGAAATCGATTAAAAATTACTATCGTCATAGATTGCTAAAGTAGTGTATGCTTAACTTATTATTATTATTTTTTATTTTATTATAAATTTTATCCCAAAGCATCTTTTTATATACTCTCGAAATTTGACCTCAATGCTCAGCTAGAAGCACCACGCGACTTTTGCGATCTCAGATTTCTAGCAAATATCACAATGAACAATCGTCCACTAAGGGTGAACCGAAAGACAGCTACAGCAAAAATTATTTACATTAAAGAAAAAAAAAACAGTGAGAAAAAAAATAAAAATGACATATTTACACTCATTTTGTACGAATACTATGTTAGTCTTTTTAAAGCTAACACATACAAAAACAAATCTTAGCTTATCCTAAGTTAGGGTGCTCTGGATATTTTTCTAAATCCAAGATTTTTTTTGTATTTTTTTTTTTAGAACATCTACTCACATGTTACATATTAGGCGAGTTTCATCTATGTCCACTTACATTAAGATATATTACAAGAACATATTTGTTGACTAATAATTACAGTAAAATTTTGAACAATATTAAAACTAAAAAACAGCAAAATGGTAACTACAAGTTATGGTCGAATTAGGGATTGGAAGAAATCCCTTCTTATTTAATATTTATATATATTTGATTAAGATTTAATAAAATAATATAAATATAGTATTGGAAACAGTTTTATAAATTACAACACCTCTCTTATATTACATTTATTTCCATTTTATGCAGGTTTCATTTACTGTGTCAGATTTTTTTTTAATTCGTCACTCTTTGTATCTGCATTTTATTGCTAAAATTGAACAATTCATTAAAATATACTTTGGTCCACCTCGCTCAAGTCTGTGTTTCGAGGATCTGTGATCACAGCTCAGACCAAACTTTTTTTTTTTTTTAAACATTTATTATAGTGAAAATATCCACAATAAAAACACATTCTTCCATAAATATCTTTATAGTTAAGTTAACTGAATATATACACAATATCCCTGTATCCATGGTAACGCTAAGCACACCACTAAAGATGTCGGCTTCAGCACGAAAAAACATACTCATTAGAATAAACTTAATAATCAATACATTCATCATAAATATAAACAGAAAAAAATATTTACATTTTCACTTTACATAACTACAAATAAATAGGTTAGTTAGACACCTACTCAATACAAAATACCAATACACACAAAGTTATGTACAAGATTAAGATTACATCTATATTTACAGATAGAAGATTAACAAGACTGTAAACTACCAGACTAAAAATGACTAGATATTTCTTGTTTTTATTTTTTCCTTTTCGATTAAAATTCTGAACTTCTCAGTTCTTGGTAATCTTGGGCTAGATGGATATAATATCACTTTACAGTAATTATAAACAATTTTTTTTCATGCATATTACAAATGTAGATGAAATTTTACTCGACTCATTTCAATTGCATTCGTCTAAAACTTAAACCAGTATTTTTCTTATTAAATAATTTAATTTAAAATATTCTATGGAGATCAAAACTAAAGTATTATAAAATTGATATCTAATTTATTTTCTGCCATATTGTATTATTCTGGGAATAAAGTGGCCTAATATAAAAATTGAACTTGGAAACAGAATTTAGCAGGTAAAGAAGAAAACTCTATTCTGTGAAGTGACGTTTGCATTTGCAAATCGAGTTACCAACCTAACTCGAAGTAAGTGAATTGTTTTCTCCATTATTTTTAAGTTTTTATTTTCGTTTTAGTTTCTCCTTCTTTTGTAAAGAAAAACAATTTCTTGTTTTTATTTAATTTAAGTTATAAAACTCGGTTAGAGAAGTTTTTTAATCTAAGTTCGATCCAGTTATTGTTTCAGTTATCAGGAACGCCTTGGGTATTCTCGATATTTGGAAAATATAATAGACATACTATATTATTATATTATTATAAATAATATTATTATTAACTCAGTAACTTATTAGGTGACATTCGACAAACAAAAATATTAAATATTTTCATTATAAAATTTTATTTTAATTAATTAATATTAATTAAAATAAAATTTTATTTTATGTTTAAGTTCCATGGCAATGAGACATGTATGTAACTATCAAAAGCTTTGTAAAATCGAAAGCAAAGTTGAGTTAAAAAAATAAGTAACTATTAATGAACTGAATATTAAAACAAAAACTTCAGAATTAAAAGAGCTCGATTTTATTTGCAATTAAACGTAAAGATTTATGTATTAAATTTTTAACATTCTTTGACTAGCATTAAACTTATTTTCTTTTTTGGCTTTAGTATGCTTCCCGATAACGTTTGGTCATTTCGGTCGAGGCAAATTTTTTTAATAATAAGGTTCTTTTTTGGTCCCAAATTAACACACTTCATTATTAAAATGTGATAATAATTTTTTGAATATTCATGGGATCTAAATTCACTGAACCGAAATTACATTTCTTAAACTTAATTTTTTTTCATAAAAATTGCTCTCAAAAACTTGAATAAAAATCTGATAGGTTTAGAGAATATTAAATATACCATGGATGATAAATATTCAGGACGCAGTCATTGTAAGGTTTTTATTACTGCCGACGTTTCAACCCAAACATGTGGGTCATCATCAGGGCGTGGTTTGAGCACTGAAGATATTCAAGTACTCCATATCTTCCATATCCCAGTTCTTGAATACCTTCAGTGCTCGAACCACGCCCTGACAATGACCCACATGTTTGGGTTGAAACGTCGGCACTAATAAAAACCTTATAATGACTGCGTCCTGAATATTTATTACCCATGATATGTAGGACAGTCGACTAACTTTCTTCATTAAATATATCATATGTATTAATGGAATTTAAATAGATAGGATGGAAAATGATGAAGATAATTAGAAAATAACGAATTATATCATTCAATGGGAATTAGAATACACAAATATAAATGAATTAAAAATCATGGAATTGCAGCTGATTTGATTTGATTGTTTTTAATTAATAAAATTAATGAACCTGTAAGTTCAATAAATAAATGTTATTAGATTTTTTTTCTACATCTTGTTCCAATGTTATTGAATTTATTAAATAACTCCTATTCAATTAAATTTTTTCCTCTATTATTTTCATATTTTTTTATGTATCTTAATTAATTTCAACGTATCCAATATTTACACTGGATTTTAGATATTTGTATGGAATTATTATTTTATGAAAGTAATAACATATTCAGAGTGAAGAAATATTATTTTTCTTTTTTGGCGGTTTTATAAAAATATTAATACAATTGAAACAGATAATAATTATTTACATCGTAGTATATATGAAAGGAATTATAATCTAATGGAATTTTAAAGTGCAAACTGCACAACATCCAGCCCAGAGAGTATTAAAAATTTATCAAATACAAGAAATCACTTATCGACTCGTTGTAAATTTTATGTTTAATTGAAGGTTGACGAAGATAACAATTTTTATTCCTTTATTCCGTCGAAGGTCACATAGGTTAATATTTTAAATATGTGATTAGGGTTGACAGTAAAGATTTACTTATTGAATTGTGTGAGGGAAGAAAACCTGTATACAAAAATTTATTTTTTTCTCTTCATAATTTCAGGGTAAAATTTATCTGATCCAACTTCAAACCACTATTAATTTCCATCATTTTCAGTAAGTACGAGTATTATAGAAAGTACTTTATACATTGAGGGTAACTAAAGTAAGATTGGTAGGATGATGGACTCAGAGGATCCCGGATTCTGCGGGAGAAGGGCGTACCTATCACAGGAAGGACTCGTGGCCGCTGCGGAGCTCGGAGACGGGCATCACGTCACAGGTCGGCTCGTCCTGGATGTGGACGGGGTCGCCGTACTGGGACTGGTAGAACTCCTCCCGCATCATGTGGTTGAGGGAGCCGCAGCGGAAGTAGAGGATCTGCTGGAAGGGACGCCGGAAGTCGCGATTGAGGGTCGCGTAAATTACAGGATTGAGGAGGGAGTTGGCATAGCCGAGCCAGAGGAAAAGGGATGACAGGGAGTTGGGGATGGCTCCGGGGTCGCTTAGGAAAGGGCGAACCAGAGCCAGGACGAAGAAGGGCAGCCAGCAGATAGTGAAGGCGGACATGATGATGCCCAGCGTGGTCGAGGCCTTCCGCTCCTTGGCCAGCTGGAACCTGAGCTTCCTGGAAGGGCCGGCAGGTTGCGGTGGGAGCCAGCGGCGCCGACGGCTCAACATAGGGCACTGCGACTCGCTGCTGACCCTCGTCACCCCGACAGCTGAGCTGCTGCACTGCAACACCAAAGGCAGATACTTTATTAGAGGCTGGTACTTGCTGGTCTGAAACACAGGTCACATTAGCAACTACTACGTAATACAATTTACAGCAACATGCACATATAAAATTATATTAGTCTATTCATGCAGAGCAATACAAATCTACGGTGTGCTTAGAAATAAACTCACTGCTTAACGATATACCGATTGAGTTGGAAGAAACGGACCAACCTTCAGGAGTGAGTTGCACATAGGATAGTAAAAAAAAAACTCATACGTTATTCAATTTTCATATGTTTAAATTTTATTGGCTGATTACAAATAAATAAAATATCATAAACGGTATTTCATACATTTATTAGCAGCACTACGATATTGTTTACAAAAAGTTGTAATAAATGTGTAAATAATTTGAAGAGAAGTTAATCGCAATACTCAGTAAAAAATAAAAATAAATAACTGATAAACAGTCCTGTATGAATGGGTTAGTGAGGAGGAACTCTTTTAATATCGTCTACCCCATGATGAAATAAAAGAATGACAAACCGACGAATTATATTATAATGATAAAGTTTAGGAAATTTTATGAAGCGGTGCATGTTTGAAGGATCTTGAACTAAAGGAAACGTCGAATAAATAATACATGATGTTAAAACTGTTGTGTATTTGGCGACCTTTGGCTTAATATAAAAAAAAACAATTGTAAATTAATGATATTTATTTTTTTACTCGCCTATTTTTCGTCCTAAGTTCAGGCCCCCATAAGGGCTAAGAAAAGAGCAGATTACAATATAAACTGATACTGATATAATTAAGAAATATTACAATTTTCATGATTCCTTAGTTGGACATCCTAATCCATTTGCACAAACATTACTAAGTTTCACAAAGACCACCAAGGAGACTGAAACTCCTCTGGAGCAGGGATCTGCTGCATTAAGAAGAGTCATGTTAGGAGTGCCTTCACTGGGAGGTTTCTCCAATCACGCATTCACGCTAATACCGGAGAAAAAGTTCGCTGACGAACATCACATTTACAAAATATGCCAAACGGCATTTGTAAAACTGTTCAATAAATAAATTTATTATTAATATATTAAAACAATACGAGAAACTATTAAGTTATGAAAAAAAAATATTAATACTAATAATGTAAGGACTATATGTAAAAAGTTAATAACAGTACCAGAGAGGAATTAATGAAATAAATAATAACTGCAACAATGTTGGGGACTAATAAAATGAACATAATGAAATTATTTAACAAGGAGAGTAACAGAATTAATTACCAAAGAAATTTAATGGAATGTTATGAGATAAAAACTAAGTGAAATGAGTGAATAGTAAAATGTCCAAACGTAGCTTTTAGTGTTGCCCAAATGCGAGACCGAGATGAGTCTTGGTCTTGCAAATTCAGTTTTGGTCATGGTCCTGGTCTTGCGCAAGAGTCTCGCATCAGTCTTGTATTTACTTATTATCTTATAACTATAAAGACATTACTGTAATATTTTAGATAGGAGAAACCTAACTAAGGCCGAATTAAAAATTAGAGGAGGTAAATGCAAAAGTATATTGGTTATACCAATTATTAACATATAGTAACTAAGATTGTCATGTATTAGTAACTATTTTGCCTTAATTTTTATATGTAAAATCGATTTTTTTTCCAGTTCTGGTCTTGGTCTTGCAACAGTTAGGCGACCTTGGTCTTGGTCTTGCACTTTGCAAGACCAAGACCGATTTTGGGCAACACTAGTAGCGTTAGCTCGCCTCAATGAGCGATAGTCCAATTAATTGATCTATGAGATCTACATACTTCTCATTACTGAATTATTTTTAGATATATTAAAAATACTGTAGGCGTCATTAAAGAAAGTTATGAAATAATCAGAAGGGCAACTGTCACCCTTCGTAAAAGAAGCCAAGGATAGTATTTTCGAACATTTATTAAAATAATACATCGAAAACCAAAATGCTAATACATATATGTTTATTTGCGAATTATTTTTATTTGTAATTAGCTAACCAAATTTTAACAATTAAAAACCGATTAAGTACATTTGATTTTTAAATTTTTTTTTTCTGTATGTACTCCTCGAGTTTGTCTCGTTCTTCCTGACTCGCACTCTATATTTTATTAGTGCCAACGTTCCGGCCTGAGTTTTAGGCTATCCTCGACTAAGAAAAACAAGGTGCATTAATAACTGAAGTATGAACAATAAAGTACAGTTCTGTTACATGAGAAAGAAGGGGAAAATTGCAATAGTTCACATAACAATTTAGAAGTTATATAAGGAAAAAAAATGGAATGGTAAATGATGTCATATATGATGAAAAGAGTAAAAAAACAAAACAAAAACATGAAGTTACAGGTAAAATAGAGAACAAAAAAGAAAATTAGCATCTAAAAGGAAAAGATGAAAACAGAAATTTATAATAAGTATTACATGCAAGTTGTAACAGTGATACTCTAACACATAACTTTACTTCAAAAGCTATAGAACATGGGTTTTTTTTCCGAACGTTTTATAACCTTTAATAATATTGTTCGGCTATTCTCAGCTAGCTAAATCCCCTTTTCTTTCTCAATCCTCTTCCATCTACTCATATTTTCCTTGAGTCCGCGTCCCAATGGAAAAATATTTGCTAAAAACGCTTCTATTCTAGGTTTTCTTTTTTGATCTGTTTTTGTCTGTACGGTTATTACCAGTCACGGTTATATTCGGTTACAGTCCTGGTTATAAGGGATATATCTAAAGGGATTATTAAGTATTTGTATGTGTTAAATAGGATTAAAATATTTTTAGTCCTTCGAAATCTTGAATTTGATAAAACAGTATTTTTTTTTATACACCCTATTAGTGTATTGTGAGATTAATAAATGTATACAGACTAAACGTCTGTTAAAATTGTGATTTTTAAAAACTATTATGTTTTTTAAGTAAAATTGGCCTGAATATTCAGAAATTTGAAAATTCATTTTCCCGGTTCTCTGTGTTGAATCCGTTTACTATTGATAAGAATAGAGTCTTTTCCTTAAAAATAAAGTCCTTAAATGCATTTTTGATGTACTCATGTCTTTTTTAAAACTTTTTTTTACCCACTCCGGTCACAAATATTCACCAAGCCACAATTAGCGAGTCTGCTGTCTTGAAAATACTAATAGTGGCTTGATCGGCGTGAGGGAAAGAAGTGCCCAGCGGCATCCCTTCTTGACTTGAATTCAATATATTTTTAGGTGAGGAAATCCCTCATCCAGCTTCTTTTGAGCCTCCGAAGATTGTTTTCGGGCCTGTTAATCTTGGCCATGTCTTGTATCAGTGTGTTAGTATGTCCGTGTAAGTTATTGTGAATTATTTTGTATTGTGTCCGCATGTGGTTGTTAACTGTTCTCATGGTAAGATCTTTATGTAAAGAATGTTTGTGATGTGCCATCTGAACTTTTGTACTCGTTTCTTAACTTTCAAAAATATTTTTGCGAATTTCGATTTTATTTATCGATATAAAAACAATATAAGAGCGTAGAAATGAATAAAAAAATCTTTTATAAATCATATGTAGTTACAACATGCGGACAATTTTCTGATTTCGTAATGTAAAAAAATGTTCTAAGTTCTTAATTAGTTAAGGTTATTAAATATCACTTAATGAATTTTTGTAAGAAACTGACGCTATATAGGCCACGCGTCTGTTTTTTTTAAGTTTTAAAAATTAAATAAACTTGAATATTTCGAAATTGCATGATTCCTTTTTCCGGTTCTCTCTGTTTACTTCCTTTTCTTTTGATAAGAAAAAAATATTTCATACGGATTATAATATGTTGTGAGATTAATAAATATATATAGACTAAACAAAAATATATGTATATATAGATGTATATCCATGGTACAAACATAATAATGGTGTATCTACATTTCATGAATGCTTACATTAATCATGGTTTGAAAATAATTTCAGTGATTGATTTGAACTAATGAAAACAGAAAAAAATAATTCAGTGACCTCTCAGTTTGAATGTGTTATCAAATATCGATGTTGTCATTTGCTGATATGCCACAAAATGTCACACCGGACCGGGTTCCATTCCTTCCTGCATACTGACAGTTCGGCTTCCCTTGTCAGATGTAAATGACTGAGGAATAGTAGAAAAAAAAAAAAAAAAGAAGAATGAGTGGCCATAACCAATCGTTCTTGCAGATTTTCGTAGAATGATTCTTCACCAATTCTCCTTTAATAAAACAAACGGAGATGTCAATCTTTCTGATTCAGAAAATGGGTAAGGTTAATATACCCTTAATAGCAAGAGACAAAATAACAGCTGCTTGAGTGGTATTCGTTCTAATATACCAATATAAAATCATGGCACGAAGTTGTTATCATGAAATCGGTTATTTTATTTAATTTTTATATGACGGTTGGGAAGAAATATATACATAAATTAGAATTTTTTAATTATTAATATTTTTTTTGGAATATTCTAATAATATACTCCAATACTAAGTACAGTATGCTTAAATAACAGTAAATATCTAAGAAGTCAACGTTTCACCAATTAAGGCCTCATCAGGACCACATTACATAAATGTACAATTTTTTTTGTCTCTCTGTCACACCTAAGGACAATAGAAATAGTGATAGAAAAGTAGCTCATTCAGACTCTACATTCAATAAATGAAAATAAATTAAACAGAAAAATAATAATGCTAAAACTAAATGTATATTAACAAAACGAAACTAAACTAAACAAAAAGAAACTAAGCTAATCAAAATAACTACTTAAATTCGCACAATTTAAATGCACAATATGAAAGCACATCAGACATTAGCGTAAAAAAAATATAGGTAGTGCATACATTTTTTTTTGGACGAAGATTGTCACAATATGAAACAATAAAATATTACGGAAAGAAGCGTTTGAAATCTCAGACTGTTTGAAAGTTTGAATAATTTAATTATGTTTGACAAGTAAACATGAAACACAGGTAAAACTAACAAGAAATGCATTGTGAGTTTCG